AACTAAATTGCCAACATTTGCTGGATTATGGAGAAAACAAAGGAGTACCAGAGAAACATCTACTTCTGCTTCACTGACTACACCAAAGCCTTTGATTGTGGCAAGTCCTCAAAGAGATGAGTACCAGATCAACTTAATTGTCTCTTGAGGAACCTGTATGGGAGCCAAGAAGCAACAGTTAGAACCAAACAGTTAACAACTGATTGAGTGAACATTGGAAAAGGAGTATGACAAGAATTTATATTGTTACATTATTTAACTTATATGCAGAGTACATCATGCGAAACGCCAGGCTAGATGAATCAAAAGCCAGAGTTAAGGTTTCCAGGAGAAATATCAACAATCTCAGCTATGTAGATGATACCGCTCAGATGGCAGAAAGTGAAAAAGAATTAAGAAGCCTCTTGATGATGGTGAAAGAGGAAAGTGTAAAAGCCGGCTTGAATTTTAACATAAAAAAAACTAAGATTTTGACAACTGTTTCCATCACTTCCTGGCAAACAGAGGGAGAAAAAATGGAAACAGTGTCAGATTTTATATTCTTGGACTCAAAGATCACTGCATACAGTGACTACAGCCATGAAATTAAAAGACACTTGCTTCTTGGAAGGAAAGGTATGGCAAATCTGGACAGCATACTAAAAAGCAGATGCATCACTTTGTCAATAAAGGTGCATATAGTAAAAACTAAGGTTTTTCCAGTAGCAATGTATGGCTGTGAGAGTTACATTATAAGGAAAGCTGAGCACCACAGAATCCATGTTTTTGAATTGTGGTGCTGGAGATGACTTTTGATAGTCTCTTAGACAGCCAGGAGATCAAATCAGTCAATACTTAGAAGAAATTAATTCAGACTGTTCACTGTGGAAAGTCAAATGCTGAAGCTGAAACTTAAATACTTTGGCCATATAATGAGAAGACAGGACTCATTGGAAAAGACTGGTGTTGGGAAAGATTAAAGTCAAAAGGAGAAAGGGATGGCAGAAGATGAGATGGATAGTATCATGGAATCAATGACCATGAGCTTGGACAGACTTCAGGAGACTGTTGAGGATAGAAGGCCTGGTGTACTATAGTTCATGGAGTAGTGAAGAGTCAGATACTGAATAACTCGACAAAAACAAATACCTATGAGCAGGATGAAGTAGAAGAAAACAAGACAAAAAGTCTTTTTTTTTCTTTTTCTTTCTCTCCCTAGGATTAGTACTAAGCAAATCAAGCTCTAATTAAGGAGGAAAAAATATTTAAAGCCATTTTTGAGATGGCAAAGAATGATATTTGGAGAAGGTTCCTATTCTTTGGGGAATGGCTGAGCAAGCTATGGTATATGAATGAGATAGAATACTATTGTATAGTAAGAAATGATGAAGGGGATGGTTTCAGAAAAACTTGGGAAGGCTTGTATGAACTGAAGCACAGTGAAATGAACCAGAAGAACAATATGAAAAACAAAAACAACTTTGAAAGTATTAGGAATCTGATTGATGTAGTCATCAGTCACCATTCTATAGGAAAAATGACAAAACATGCTCCCCACTTCCTGATAGAGAGGTGAAGGACTCAAAGTGCATAATAGACATCTTTTTTTTTTTTTGGACATGGCCAAAGGAAAATTTGGTTTGCTTGACTATACACATTCACAACAAAAGTTTTGTTTTGCTTTCATTCTTGAGGGAGGGAAGGTGGAAGAGAGAAAAGGTGGATTTTCATTGTTTGAGAAAATAAAATATAATTTTTAAAAATACCAAAAAAAGTTTCTCTTCCAGCACGTACAATACTAGAGAACAAAATAAAAGAAGTACTCCTTTGAAGTTCCTTTGAATACTTCAGCCTACCAGTTGTTGTTGTGAGCTCCATAGCTCAAGCACTGTGTCTTATATATGCTAAATAAAAGCATGTGAAACTCAAATAAGAGTGCATTTTATGCTCAGATTTTCCTATTGCTTTCACTGAATAAAGAACTAAAACATCTATCACTGTTTTAACCTAATATGCAATAGATACAAAAGCCAGAGAGCTTTAAAATAAATTACTTATGCGTATGTTTTTGTTTAATCTCATTATAACAGTTTTGCATCATTTTTTTAAAAAAATGTCAAAGGTCACTCAGTGGGGCAGAATTAAGCAAAATAAATATACTAGCATAGTGTTTGATTAACCCAAAGACCCCAGCTACTGATGGATGAACAATTTGATGAAAACAATTGGGAAAACTGAACAGAGTTTGGCAGAAATTAGGTTTAGATCAATACCTCACACAATTTACCAACATAATCTTCAAATGGATCCAAGATTTGGATATATGAGTTACATTTATAAATGAATCAGCAGAACAAGGAAGAAATTATCTTTTGGATCTATAGATTAAGGAGGCGTTCATTGCTGAACAAGTGATTCAGAGTATCATGCAAGAAAAACCAGGAAATTTTGATTACATAAAGTTTAAAAGCTTTTTCACAAAGAAAGCTAATGTAGTAAAAATTAGAAGGTAACTGGGAAAAGAAATTCTTTGCAAACAAGGGTCTCTGATAAAGTCGTTTCCAAGATAGATGAGGAACTGATTCAAATTTATAAGACTAAGAGCCATTCCCCAATTGACAAATGATCAAAGAATATGAACAGGCAGTTTTCAAAAGAAAAAAAACCTAAGCTATCAACAATCACGAAATAGTGGTTTAAATCACTAATAATTAGAGAAATGCAAATTAAAATAACTTGGAGGTTCTTCCTCTTGGCTATCAAAATGGCAAAGATACCAAAAGATGAAAATGACAAATATTGGAGGGGCTGTAGGAAAACAGGTATATTTAGATACTGTTTGTGGAGCTGTATTGATCCAGTCATGCTAGAAAACAATTTGGAACCCTGCTCAGAAAGTGACCAAACTGTGCATACACTTTGAACCAGCTAACAGATCTATACTTCCAAAGAAATAAAAGAGAAAAAGGATATATATGTACAAAACTATTTATACTAGCTCTTTTCATGGTTCCATAAAATTGGAAATTAAGGGGATGTCCTCCTATTAGGGAACAGCTAAACAAATTGTGAGATATAAATGTAATGGAATATTATTGCGTCATAAGAAATAACAAAATAAACAATTTCACAGGAAACTGGGAAGAGCTTTTGAACTGATTCAGAGTGAAGTAAGCTGAACTAGGAGGACAATTTGTACACTAATAGCAACATTACCAAGAAAACAACTTTGAAAGTTGTGTTAAGTACTTTAGAATTCAATGATAAACCATTAGTCCAAAAGAATAAAGATGAAACATGCAACTCGCCTCCTGACAGAGAGGTAATGATCTTAAGTTGCAAAATGATAACTATGTATCATTTTGGACATAGCTAATATGGGAATTTATTTTGCTGTTCTATGTAGAAATATATTAGAGATTTGGGGGGTTGTTTGATAGACAGGGGTAGTGGGAGGACCTTTTAATAAAAATGTTTAAAATTTTAAAAAAAATTTAAAAGGGGAATCTTATGGATTATAATCAAAGCTGGACTTGGGGAAAAAAGCACCATTTATCAGAGATATACTTAATGCCTAATGTGATAAAATTGTGGTTTCATGATGCAGAACTAAAGAACATATGTCTAAAAGAAGGAAGTATTAAGGAGAAATTAAGTTAGATTTGAAAGAAACCAGAAAATCAAAGAAGAGACATTGTATATTACTTAATTTTCAATACATCTATATGGCTATATTCTAGAAAAAATATAAAAGACTTTCTAATTTGAAAATGATCTGTTTCTAGCCCTGTCTCTCCAATTATCAAGTTACCTAGTCATATTCACCAGTGTTCATGCCTGAAACACACAGCTAAGGGACAGATGTATACTTGTGTTCCCAATAGTTTATTGCCCCTAAAATTGTTAAGTGTAGGAGACATAGTACAAAGCAGTTATTTTAGGCTGTGGAAACACTGTGAACCTACCATATAACTCTTACATAGTTTGGGGGTTTACTAGATCTTCTTTAGTTTTCCCTTGGGGCTAAGGCAGATTTTTAAAATCCCTAGGGAGGAATGAGTTGATTTTGGGACTCTGGCCAGCATTTGGAATCCTGGGATTTGCATGGTAGGGATGGGTCTTGGGTTGTCTCAGTTAAATTGAACATTTTAGAAGTCAATAGACACCAGGTTCCAGCAAACTAACACTTCTGGGTGGCTTGTGACATATCATATATTCCCAAAACACACACACACACACACACACACACACACACACACACACACACACACACACATACACACATATAAATGGAGGTGGGGGGAAACCTCACCTTGCATTTTGACGTGACCTCATTTGTAACTTCATTGGTACTTTAAAAAAAAAAAAAGAGCACCGTAACAGTGCTCCCAGTTTACAGGATTGCAGCATGCCTACTCATCTACATTCTTAGGACACTAAAACCAACTGTAGAAGGGATGAGAAATTAAATTTAACTCCACAAGGGGCTAGTTTTATACTGAGCCATTCAGTACATCTTATTGATGTATGCTACCTTTGGACAGCACCTAACTGACCTAGCCTTCTTTACAATTCTCCAAATGTGACACTCTATACAACTAGGATGAAAAACCCTAAACGTATCCTTACAGCAAAATATGGTCAGCATTTTCTCACCTTCTTCCCCTACTCCCTCCCCAGATACTGTGTATACTTAAAAAAAAAAAAGAGAAAAGAGAACAAAACTTTTTTTTTAAAGCCTTGCTGCTTAATTCTTTTAGATTTGAGGTTTGTGCTAATTTATATGGTTGTTTTAAGGAGGCATCCATAGACCTGTTTCTCTTATATTCATTATTTTCCCCCTTCATAATACTTGAGAACAAATTGCATGGGATGAAAGGTCCTAGCAAATCCTTTTCTTACCAAAGAATATCAGTTTTGCACCTAAGAACTTAAATGAAATGCATATTCATTTTTTCCAAATATTTTAAAGACTTAATTAAAAAAAAAGTTACTGTCATTTAAATGTTCATTTCTCTTACCTGAATTTTATACAGAGGTTGCTTTGGAGTGTTTACATCCCTCAGCAGACGATGCGATAGGTTCTTTAGCTCTAAGAGCCTATGGGTAAGTTGAGGCTGCAAAAGTTTGGCAACTGATTTTGATGATCTGGATATCTTATGTAATCCTTGGAGGATTGCTCCTGCATGTATCCTAGCTAGAATGATAGCCATTCTTGTTTTGGATGTTGTTGGGACCACATCTGTTTTCTGAAAAACAAACCTTTGAAAAGTGACTGGCATGTGATCCGAAAGCTCTTTGAGGCTGACACTAGATTTTGTACAATTTTGTATCTCCATAATTCCCTGTATATGATAATATCTATTGATAAATGAGAAACCCCACAAAGTATAAGGATTTGTGATTAAATTACATGGAATCTTCCAGTGTGGATTGGAAACACTCTCTACCAACAAGAAACCCTCTATAACTTAGCAAATGAGTCTTAATCTGCAGCATGAAGAGGTTAAGTGGTTTGCCCAGTGTCATGCAACTAGTAGGTTGGTGGGGTTGGAATTTAAACGCAGGTCTTCCTAACTTCAAGCCCAGACTCTATCCACTACTCCAAACTAAATTATAAAACAAGAATATCCTTAATCAGAAACATTTTGGCATCACCAGAACACCAGAATATCATGATGTATGTTATAATGGTACCTCATCAGCCCTAATTCACTGGACTTGGAGTGAGGACGAGTTGGCTTCAAATCCTAACCCCTACAATTATTGGCTATATAACCCTGGGCAGGTCATGCTTTCTTTTCCTCATCTATAAAGTTAAAACTCATTAAACTCAAAAGCATATGGAGGTGATTATTGATAAATCAAAATAAATTAATAAAATTTTTAAAAAAAGAAACTTCAAACAAAAAAAAAATGATAGGGTCAGGCTCAATGGCTTCTAAGCTCTTTTCCAGCTCTAAAGATATGGTTCTTTGATTTCTAATAGAAAATGAACCCCAAGAAATCACTTAGTATTGCTGTACTTCATTCTAACCAATGAAACAAAATGAGCCATTCCTCAATTAATTTTTGATGTTATCTCTACACTTTAAGTATTTGAATTTTTAAAAAGTCAATGCAAATTAACACCTCTGCATCACATAGATATGTCTGTGTAAGTTTATTTAGTAGCCTAATTTGCTGAAATGTTTACTTTAAATGTCTCAACATGAATTTTGACATTATTACAGATGGTTAAGGTGCTAGTGGGATATTATCAAGTGAATGGATGATTTTTAAAGAATATTTTTTTCCAAACTATGGTAAAGCCTTCTCTACTTTAGAGTATGAACCTTTCTGGCAAACTAGATTATTTACTTCTCATAAATAAGCTATCTTTCTTCCTGGCCAGTGTAAGACAATTATTGGCCCACATTTCTCTCCCAAACCCCTTCATTTACTCAGAGGGTTCCATACTAACATCTAATGTCTCTTGATCATAAGTCTTTCAACAGCTTTTTTCCACATTGTTTTTTGTCTTTTTTTTTTTTTGTAACTTTAGTGCTTACCACAGTGCCTGGCACATAATGGTGCCTAATAAATATTTATTGACTGACTGGGTAATATATGCCTACAGTATCTATCTTTTTCCATTGTTATTATTTTTCCTATCACATTTACTTTAATTCAAGTAAGCTTTATTTGGAGTATAGGTAGATGCATTTTTATTTTACACTAATTAAATCTTAAGTGAACTTAAAATTTGCTTTGAGGATAGTGAAATTTCCTATGCTGTTTTACATTGTCATCTATATCATGTTGATTTCTGTTAACCATAACAAACAGAACCACAGGAGCCATTTCCTTCTTAACCTTTGGTTGATTTGCCTTGGATCAAATTCCTAACATTTGTATGGGTCTTTTTTTCTGGGCCCCTGAACTTATCTTCTTTCCTTAGGCTGGAATCCTTATAGCAGCCTAAAATTTAGGGAGTCTTTTATGAGCTGAAATTTGCAATATTTTTGCCTTATATTTGAACTATCAATCTTTCTTGTGTCTTTATGCATTGAACCTCAAATTCAAGTATCCAACAAGTGGTAGGAAAAATACAATATTCATTTGTTTGTTGAAAAGAAGATCTCTTGTCAAAGTTAAAAAGTCATGTTACCTGGTTTGACTGTGATAATCTTAACATGCTGGGGAATTCATCCTTAAACTCGTGTGCAAGGTCCATGACTGCTTTCTGTAATCCCTCAACTGAGAGATGAAAAGAAGCCAGAGAAATATCTTAACTAAAAATATACTCCCCAACATATTCCCAAAGAATGCAACATATATAAGTGGCAACTTCTTGGAGACTGAAAAAATAAGTCTTGAGGAATTTTTGTCCCAATTTCCCACACCCCCATTCCCATTTGAACTAGATTGTGTATACTTTTTCCAGAAAAGCTCTTCACTACTTGACTGCATATCCAACCAACGCGTTTGATTGGCATGATGAATCCTTGCTTGTATTCCTAATTCTCCTGAATTTGGTTTTCCTGCAGTCCTAGGCAATGTTTGTCCAACTCAGTCTGTAGGCAGGAATGAAGGTAGCCTTCCTACTCAAGAAAGCAGTGAAGGCCCAGAACCTGTGGTTGACTACCAGAATCATTTTTTATGGAACAATGGGCCTCTTGTGAACTTGTTACAGAATCTTCTGAAATCACAATAGTAAGGATAAGGATTGTAGAGGTGCTTGTGAGCAGAACAGAGGTTGAGAGCTCAAATCATCAAGCACTGATGAGTATGAGAAATAAGACAACTGTCCTGTGCTCTACAGGGATGCCTGAATTAGTGAATCCTCTAGTAACGAAGTTTCTTTGTAAGGAAATTTGCCAGTACTCTTTAAAAAAAAACCCTTTCTAAACCATGGGAAACAGAGGTACCTATTAATCTTATTGGCACGTGTTGGTGTTCTTTCCAATATTACCAACTGGATTCTTTCCATACTTCTCAATCATGTCCCATTTTTATACATGTCTTTCTGTATGGTCTCCATAAAGTAACCACCCAACTCAATGGAGGTCTTGTTCTGATTTTTTTTTTTCATATTTAATGAGTACAAGCACAGGTTGTCTAATTGTTGTTATTTGCTACAGGATGGCTTACCTCCTTTTTCAGTGTGTCTTTGTTGACTGCAACCTAATTATAGACATAATCCATTTTTCCATTGCCTAGATGAGATAGCATGACCAAGAAAGATATCTCTAAACATAATTCCTATTTGTTTACACCTAGATCAAGGTAAAGAGGACTTATCTTGGGCAAGATTATGAAGGCTGAAGTTTATTTTCTATACTTTGAGAGTCCCCACTTCAGAATTAGAATAGGCAAAGAAGAAACAAAGTTATCATTCTTTGCAGATGATATGATGATATACTTAGAGAATCCTAGAAAATCAAATAAAAAATTACTTGAAATAATAAACAAGTTAAGCAAAGTTGTAGGATATAAAATAAACCCACATAAATTATTGGCATTTCTATATATCACTAACAAAGCCCAATAGCAAGAGGTAGAAAGAGAAATTCCATTTAAAGTTACTGTAGACATCATAAAATATTTGGGAGTCTACCTGCCAAAACAAAACCAGGAACTATATGAATACAATCACAAAATGTTTTTTTGCACAAATAAAGTCTGATCTAAATATGTTTAATAGGAATGTATATGTAGAGCCTGTATCAGATTGCATGCTGTCTTAGGGATGGGGGGGGGAGAGAAAATTTAGAACTCAAAATCTTATGGAAGTAAATGTTGAAAACTAAAAATTAATTAATTAATATGAAAAAAAGAAAAAAGAAAGTCTCCACTTCAGCACTCCCTCCCTTTTAGCTCACTTTATCCTTTCCCTTTTACCAAAAATTTTGATTACATAAAATTAAAGTTTTTGCACAAAAAACTCAATTTGGCTAAGATTAAAATAGTTAACTGGTGGGGAAATCTTCACAGCAAGTTTCTCTGATAAAGGTCTCATTTCTAAAGTATATAAGAAATGGATTCAAATTTATAAGAATGAGTCATTCCCAACAGACAAATAGTCAAAAGATAAGAACAAGTAATTCTCAGGGGAAGAAAGACAAGCTATGTATAGCCATGTGAAAAAAATAAATTTGGAAAATTGATAACAACTAGAGAAATGAAAATTAAAACAATTCTGAAGTTTTAATTCACGTCCATCAGATTGGCAGAGCTGACAAAAAAAAAAAAAGGAAAATGACCAATGATGGAAGGGCTGGGGGGGAAAAGACACATTAATGGACCATTGGTGGAGTTGTGGATTGGTTATTCTGGAAAGCAATTTGGAGTTATTCTCCCAAAGTTACTAACCTGTGATCTATCAATACAATTGCGAAGCCTAGATGACTAATGCCTCAGAGAAAGAGGAAGCATACTCATGTGTGCAACAATATTATTCAAGCTCTTTTTATGTTAGAAAAGAATTGGAAACTAAGGGAATACCTGTAAATTGGTGAATGGTTGAAAAAATTATGGTATATGAAAAGAATTTTAAAAATTATATCATAAAAATAATGAAAGGGACAGGCTTTTTTTAAAATCTGGGAATATGAATTGATGCAGAGTGAAATGAGCAGTACTAGGAGAATAATTTATACTATGACAATAACGTTGTAAAAATGAAGAGACTTAAGAACTCTAATCAACTCAATGTCTCAATGAGGAATGCTATCCATTTCCTGATAAAGGTGGAGTACTAATTATGGAGAATGAAACACACTTTTGTATATAACCAATATGGGAATTAGTTTTCCTTGACTATGCATGTTTATTACAAGGGTTTTTTTTTTAATTTTTCTCAAGGAGGAGAAATGGAAGAGAAAACAAATGCTTATTAGTTGAAAACAATTTTTAAAAGCACATTAAAATAAATTCTTCCCCTAGCAGCCTACTTGCAAAATGTACCTCATATATATGGGGTAACCTTTTATATTTACACTACGATATTTCACTGTACAGTTGTCACAGATTTTTTTGTCAAATTTTTTTGCAAAAAAAGTGGAGTGTGACCATTACGTGAAACTTTAAAAAAAAAAGCTTCCACCAGTCTTCCACCAACTTTTCTCTCGCTGAAAATTATCTTCCTACAGTACTGTTTCCATGCTGTTCAGCAAACACAATCACTTTCAGCTTGAAGCCCGCAAAATCGTTTTTTATATTTGCCCATAATCGGAAAGTAGTAATTTGCATGTTAATGCATCACTAGCAGAAGAATTGTACAGTTTAGCTAACCAGGAAGATGCAAGTCTTACCATATTATGTGACTTACTCAAGACAGCTTCACCTGCCAGCTGTTCCCCTTTCAACTAAGGCTCTTCACTGGGTTGAATGACAATATCGTTAGAATTGCAGCACTCTAAACAAAGCAAATTGGTTTTCAGAAATATACTGACAATGCGCATGGCCTTCAAAGAGATAAAGGTGTATTCATATGCCACTGGTGAATACATTGCTGCTCTGTTCACCTTTTAGGCAGCTTGATTAATAGAATTATACAGTGCAATGATTATGTGATGAAAGGTTATTAACCAATATTTGGACTGGAAAAAAAAAAACAACAAACCAGGGAGATGATGACAATTATGCGGTGAAATATGGCATTCAGGGTTTATGTGTTGTAGGATGTTGGTTTAAACTTCATTTTTGCTAAACTTACTTTCAAGTTTTATTGTACCTTAAGCTGTAACTGCCAAGATTAGTTTTATTGTGTCTAATTTGTGGATTTTATGACCCTTCTTATTATATGTATAGGGATATATTTGATTTTTAGGATTTTACAACTATAGGTGCTATTTTTCCTCACTCTAAGGAGTGTAAATGCTTGATAGACAATATATATTTATACATAGCCATACTGATAGTTAATGTCTTTCTCCCTTGCTTGGATCTTTGTAGATTGGAAGTTTATTCCCTCTCTACTACAGAATCTGAGTTAGCATTCATATGTAGAATCTAAAGGGGAAAAGGCTCAAGTACTTCCATGAGACCTTTTTCATTCTCATTCTGAAAATAGGTAATTTAGGAAGCAGAACTCCTGGGTAAGATATATTAATTGGCTACTATCCTGTATGCCTATGTAGTTTTAATTGCTTATTGCTTTTAATTGTGTAGTATTATAACTCCTGTCTTATCAGCATACACAACTCCCAAACAACCAGAAAAGAAAGTTCACATTAACAAAGTCCTTAGTACTGTCAAACTCAATATCAAAAACAGATAAGGTTTTATCAATGGAAATGACATTAAAGAAGATGCATTATGATGACTATACATGTAGAATCTCTATCATATTGCTTGCCTTCTCAAGGTAGGGGGGGAGGAAGGGGCAGGAGGGAGAGAATTTGGAATTCAAATTTTTAGTTGCATGCCTAATTCATTGATCTTTGCATTCTCTATTTTATTGATGTAAGTGTTTAGAGATATAAATTTTCCCCTAAGTACTGCTTTGGCTACATTCCATAAATTTTGGTATGTTGTCTCATTGTTGTCATTCTCTTTAATGAAATTATTGATTGTTTCTATGATTTGTTCTTTGACCCACTCATTCTTTAGTATTAGATTATTTGGGTTTTTGGCTATGTTTCCATGGCCCTTTGATTTGAAAAGGATGCATTTAATATTTCTGCTTTGCTGCATTTGGTTGTGAATTTTTTGTGCCCTAATACATGGTCAGTTTTTTTGTAGGTGCCATGTATCACTGAGGAAAAAGGTATATTACCTTCTCTACCCATTCAGTTTTCTGCAGAGGTCTATCATATCTAACTTTTCAGAAGTTCTATTCATCTACTTAACTTCTTTCTTGTTTATTTTTGTTTAGATTTATCTAGCTCTGAGGGAGGAAAGTTGAGATCTCCTATGAGTACATTTTTACTATATATTTCCTCTTCTAACTCATTGAACTTTTCCTTTAAGAATTTGGAAGTTACATCATCTGGTGCATATATGTTTAGTACTGATATTACTTCATTGTCTATGGTACCTTTTAGTAAAATGTAGTTTCCTACTTATCTCATTTAATTTGATCTATTTTTGTTTTTGCTTTGTCTGAGATCATTATTGCTACCCCTGCCTTTTTTACTTCAGCTGAAGCATAGTAGATTCTGCTCCAGCCCCTTATTTTAACTCTGTGAGTGTCTCTCTGTTTCAAGTGTGTTTCTTATAAACGACATATTGTCAAATTCTATTTAATCCACTGCTAGCTGCTTCCATCTTATGGGTCAGTTCATCCCATTCACATTTACAGTTATGATTACTGTTGTGTATTTGTCTACATACTATTTTCCCTGTTTATCCTTCTCTCTCCCTCCCTCCCTCCCTCTCTCTCTCTCTCTCTCTCTCTCTCTCTCTCTCTCTCTCTCTCTCTCTCTCTCTCTCTCTCTCTCTCTCTCTCTCTCTCTCTCTCCTCTCTCTCTCTCTCTCTCTCTCTCTCTCTTTTTCTCCTTTTAGGCTGTCCCTCCTCAAAACTCTATTTTGCTTCCAACCACTGCCTCCTCCAACCTGCCCTCCTTTCTATCACCTCCCTTCTCCTACTGCCTCCCCTACTTTCCTGTAGGGAAAGACAGATTTCTATACCCAACT